GATTATCTTCTGTGTCTGTGTTAATTGGTTTCCCTTTTCTTTGTTGAAGAGGGTCTGTGCAATCCTTCTGCCTAGTCCGCCATCTTGCCCCTCACAAGAGACTTTTAATGAAAATAACATCATCATCCATACTCAACCCTTAGCAGAATCGTATTTCAACCTAGGAATTTGTTTCATTTGTACAATTAATAGGAATTGATCCATACGTATTGAATGTGGGAAAAGAGACCTAAACAAAAGCAAGACTTTTGCCAGTATTTTTGAAACACTGATGAAGAATATTTTGTTTTTGTAATATAACCTGTCAAAATAGTGTGCTTTTGATTTTCTTCATCAATAGAAAATGAACCCAAGATTCTATAGAGTGATGTTTCTATTTTTATGGTCTCCAGCTTGTTTGTAATTATTTATCTCCATATTCAATATGTGAATAGAAACATTTCTCAATTTCAATTAATAACTGGATGGGAGTAGGAGTATAATTTTCAATGACAGTGCCTTTCTTCTTTCATTGATTTCATCTTCTTTATAACGTTCTGGAGATTTTTTAATTTTTTTAATAGATGATTTATTTATGTGGTTCAAAAGTACAGAAAAGTAGGGAGAGAAAATTTCCATCCACCTCTGTCCTGCATTCACTGACTTCTCAACTTACCATTCTGACAAATACACAATCACTTGCCTATATTTCTGGGGTTTTTTATTGCACATACAAGGCCCTGTTCTGTACCTTGTTGTTTTGTGGGGTTTTTTTAAGTTAATTATTTGTGTGTATTAGTAAATAAAGAATACTCACATAACTCTTTATAGTTACATAATCTTCCATTGTGTGGATCTATGGAATCTTTGTAACCAGTTCTTACAGATGGGCATTGATGTACAAAGTACTCATACTATACATATACCAATACCATTTTGTGCTGGAGCAAGTATACTTGTAAAAGAAATTCTTGTAGAATTTATAAGCCAGTCCCACTCTGTTGTATACCTGCTGCCATCGAGTCAGTTCTGACTCATGGCAAACTCCATTGGGTTTACAAGGCTATAAATCTTTACGGAAGTAGATTGCCTCGTCTTCCTTCCACAGAGCAGCTGGTAGATTCAAACTGCCAACTTTCAGGAAAGTAGCCAAATGCCTTACCCATTACAGCACCAAAAACCGGAAAAAAAAAAAAAATCCTCACTGCCGTAGAGTCAGTTCAACTCACAGCGACCCCTCCTTGGGTTTCTGAGGCAGTATCTCTATGGAAGGGGATTGCTCAGTCTTCCTTCCAAGGAGTGGGTAGTGAGTTTGAACTGCCAGCCTTCTGGTTAGCAGACCAGAGCTCCCTTAATCAGTCATATAAGTTATCACTGTTCCAAAGCTTGTCAGGCCTGTCCCTCTCATATGAAGCATCATAGTACATTTCATTTACAGTAAAGCTAAAACCTGCCACCTCATGCTGTGGCACCAGGCCAAGAATTCACCTCTTCTAGAGGCAGCAGGGACTACAGTCCTTCCAGGGAATGGCAGACTGGGAAGACAAACTCATCTCTAGAGCCTAATGCATTTTCTTAATAGATGACACCATATCAGAAACCACCAAAGAAAGCAATATGGGGTGTTTCCACTTCATTTAAGCCATGAGAGTCCACAGGGAATTTCTAAGATTCATCTACTTTTCGTACTGGCCTGACAGGACTATTGTATACAGAGTGGGGCAGAATTAGGATCCAAACCTCTATCATCTTAATTAAAGTCTTCTCACACTCAGCTTATCTCTACTTTTCAAACTTGCTACAACTCAGAACTTTTATAGGTTCAGAAGTTCCTACTTAGATGATCAGTAGATACTGAGTGAAAGGCTGCCCTCTACTTCTTTTCATTTGGAGTAGTAATATAAAACCTTGTTGGTAGAAGTCATTCTCTCTTCCAGTTATGCACCCTGAGAAAGATGAAACAACATAGACCTTCTCTCATGTTCTCCCCACCACACTCAGGCATTTAAGTGAAGGATTCTTCCTCAATGGCCTCATCATCTTCTGTACCCAGAGTACCCCAACTCCTTTAGCATCATGTCCAGGCAGATCTGTGCTCCAAAATAAAGATGTCTCCCATCCCTTGCCATATGACAGCAAAGTCAGCATTCTCCCTTAGATTCCCTGCTGCAAGGGCCTCAAGAATGTCTCAGCCAGCCCCCTATGCCAGAGGCCCACCCAGTGGTTTGTGCCCACTGTGTTAGATTGACCATGAATGGAGAAGGAAACAAATTTCTTGCTCAGAACATGGTGGCTTATCTCCTCCCCAGCCCTGATCAGAATCAGTTAACTCTTGATAAATAAATACAAATTTGACTAGGATCTTTGTGAGGTCCATCCAATCCCAGCTTTCTTCTCCAGCACCAACAAACCAGCATCTTCACTGGTTGAATGCTAGTCTCCAGCATTTCTGTTCTGGTTCCATTCCTGCCCAGTTGGCCAGAGCAGCCCTTGTTTCACTGTTGCACTGTCCCTCTCTGTTGTTCTATGCCCTGCCCACCTCTACTCCACTTTGTCTTGGTTGCAAACCCATGGCAGTTTAGCCCCACTCGCTCCATCAACAGGATATCAACTTCAGGAACATATTTAACTCACCAGATGGGGCTGCACAGCTGTAGTCTTGAGATAGAGACTTCTCATTGTGTCTCCATCCATTAGGGACATGGTCATGGACCTAATTCAATTGACTCGACACAACTGGTACTAGTAGGAGATCTCCAGGGGCAATAAGGACATTCCAGACAGAGATGACTGTGGAAGAGGGACTGTTAAGGGGAGGGTGTCAGCACCTTTGAGGAAATCACAGTCCAATGCCTTCAGGTACTGTAACTGGGCCATTTGTAGAAAGGTCTGTCTCTGAGAGTAGTGCTTAGGGAAAAGGATCCCAGTGTAGAACACAATTTGATGAGGGGTACAAGAGCTGGATACCTCTCATCCCTATTCCCCCTCTGTGTGAGACAGAGCATACAGGTGGCCTGAGGGGTGCCCATAAAGACTCTACACTCTGCAGTAACCCCATGGGACTTGACTGACTAGGACATCCTCTCCCTCTCTGTCTTGGGGGAAAAGAAAAGATGGGAGAGGTAGAAGAGAGATGAGAAGTACGAGGCAGGGGGAGGCAGAACAGGAGAATGGTGAAAGCCAAAGGGTGTTTCTTTGACCCTCAGGAGGATTTCCCTGGCGCGTTCAGAAAGCCAAGCAGTTCTAGAAGGAGAAGCTATGAATCATTTATGATTGTTTTCATTCTGTATTCATTAAAGGCATCTGCACTATTATTATCGAACCTTAATTGGCTTGGCTCTAGGTGCTACCTCTGCCAGCCCTTACTCCTCCCTGTGCCATCAGAAATTCCTCGAGTGCAAGTGCAGGGCCCAGGCCGGGAGCAGAGGCACTGGGCAGGCATCCTTTCAGAAGATCAAATGGAATGCGGTCACTGTTCTTGCTTTGCTCTGATCATATATTCATCAGTGGATCTCGTAGGCCTTTAGCTCTGTTCCCTATGACCCCCCTCTCAGCTCCCTGGCATCTCTGAATCCTCTTGGTTTTCTCAGCCACAAGAGAACTTTCTCATGAGCCTTCCCCTCTCATGGCCTCAGCTTCATGCCTGATGGTGCATCGCCTTTGTTCTGAGAGCTACGTTGGGCAGCAAACCAGCAACAATACACAGTTACCTGATTTACTCCTTTTAATACACTTTAGTGTAATTATAATGGCATAAAAGAGAGGACAAATGGGCAAGTAATTGCAGTGTTAATTTGGCACTACTTTATCATATTGTGGAAGCATAATTTCCTCTTTGATTATATTGGGTAAGGGGGACACTTTGGTCAACAGTATAGCTTATTAAGGGATTCCCAAGAACAGAAATGAAATACACAGGAGAGAGAGGAATCAGCTCTCCACCCCCACCCCTCCCACAAATAGGCCTTTATTTGTGTATGTTTTATGGCCTCCTTAACAAGCTACCTCATTTATCCAGACCTAATTAACGGAATGCCACAGAATGTATAATTTGGCTGCTGCAGCATCTGCTGATGGATGATTTTTTATTTGGAAACTGGAGATGCTCCCAGTTCAAAGGGCTGGATGCTTCCCTTTCAGAATCTCACCGGCTGTGCATGCCTCACCACCGTCCCCCCTGAGAATGCAACCGTGGTGCCTGGGAAATGCCCTAGCCCTGGGTGCCAGGAGGCCTTCCTCACCTTCCTCTGCGTGATGTGTGTCTGCAGCATGATTGGCGCGATGGCACAGACACCCTCGGTCATTATCCTCATCAGGTAAGAGCTTAGGCCAGTCCAGGGACCTGGGAGCCAGCCTTGCCACTCCCCCTGTCCTCCAGGTGTCCACTATTCTCCTAAAGAACAGAACTTCAGAAACTACATACAAGCCAAGTGGAGCAGAACCACAACAAGGATTTCAGCTTCCTGAGGCCAAGGAGCTCTGGTAGCATAGTGCCTAAGGCACTTGACTGCTAACCAGAAGGCTGGCAGTTCAAACCCACCAGCCACTCCTCGGAAGGAAGGTTGGGCAATCTACTTCTGTAGTGATATTGCCTTGGAAACCCAAGGAGGGGTTACTATGAGTCGGGTCCGACTCGACAGTACCTAGCAACAGCAACAACAGGCCAATACTCAGTTGTCTTTGTGTAAGCAGTTCATGTGCTCAGCTGCTAGCTCAGCTGCTAGTTGGAGGTTCAAGTGCACCAGAGACACCTCGAAAGAAAGGCCTGGTGATCCATCTACTTCTGAAAAGTCATCCATTGAAAATCCTCCGGAGCACAGTTTATTCTGACATGTATGGGATTTCCACAAGTCAAAGTTGACTCAGTAACAGCTGTTGTTGTTAGGTTCTGTCAAGTCGGCTTTGACTTATACAGACCCTCTGTACAACAGAACAAAACACTGCCCGGTCATGCGCCATCCTCCCAATCCTTGCTATACAGTGTTTCAGGACTATTTATAAAGTTTTCCAGTAATATATCAGACATTGTTTCACTACTATTCATAAAGTTTTCACTGGCCAATTCTTTGAGAAGTGGATGGCCCCTTCCATCCAAGTCTGTCTTAGTCTCGAAGTTCCACTGAAACTTGTCCACCATGGGTGACTCAGCTAGTATTTGAAATACCAGTGACATAGCCTCCAGCCTCACAGCAACATACAAGCCACCACAGTATGACAAACTGACAGATGAGCTGTGGCAGTAGCAACTGGTTTGGTCTTATGTTTCTGAGCACCTCACACCAAGGGTAGAGAGCAGGGCCCAAAGGAGAAGACAACACTGTCATTTCCTCCTTTGCGGATGTTTATTAAAGGGACTGTGGTTCGGGCTTGCTCTTTGCAGAGAGAAGCATTGTTGGAACAAAGTAAATAAGGCATTGGATTAACAGTTGAAAGTCCTGTTGCCCAGCCCTGCCTGCCTGCCACTGGTCAGCCCTCTGACCTCGACATGTTGATTTCCCTGTGCTTGTCCCTAAATTGGTAAATGGGGTGATGCTATGGGTTCTGCCTGCCTCCTGGAGTGGAGTAAGGCCAGGTGAAATCATGTGTGTACAAATGCTAGAGAGACGTGAACAGCTCAGGAGGGCACAATACAGTGAGGACAAGAAGCCACCCATCATTCCATAATCCTGCATCTCTCACAGCCTGTCCTGGGGCAAGAGAGATGCCTCGGAAGTGAATTATTGAGTAATGTCCCTCTCTGAGTAACTTTTATCATTTTCAAAATTGTCTAAATCTGTGTGAAGAGCCTAGAAGTGACCTGATCAATATCCATCTGAACAAGAGGAAGCAACACCATGCAAAGAAGATCCTAGTTTGTGGGATGCAGTTATCTCAACAAACCAATATGATCCCAAAGACTAGAAATAAAACTAGGAATGATGTGCTTGGAAATGTCCTCTGTAAATGTGTATCAGCAGCTATTTTAGCCAGTTTCTCTCTTCCTCTATCCCCACAGACCACATTTCCTCATCTTTATTTGAATTCCCCCAAAAGAGGATTTGTAAGCTGGATTTATATTACTTGAAGGTTATTAGCAATGCCTTAATATGCAAAAGCATTTGCCACTTTGCATTTACTCCATTTGAAAAACAGGTTTAAAAAATTAACACCTAGTTCTTGCAAGGCTGTAACAAAACTGGTAAGATCACATATTGCAGGTGGCATTGAAAATTGTATCACTACTTTAAAAAAAAAATGCCATTGTGAATCAAGAGCCATAAAAATGTTCAGACCCTTTTATGCAATAACCATACCCCTTGCCATTTATCTTAAGAAAAATACTTCTCTACAAGGAAAGAAGAAAAAAAATAAATAAATAAAGAAGCTCAGCACAGATTGTTATTACAATGCTAACTATAATAGCAGGAAAGCCTGAATTGGAATATGAGTTAAATTATGGTACTGCACTTCAGTGTAACAATGAAAACTCTTAAGAATATGAAAAATGTTTATGAAATGAGCTATTGAATTTATGAATATATATACAGACTGATTATATATAATGCACATATGGACGAAACCCATCAGATCTCAGGTATGCGTTTAGGATGGCTGCATGGTGGGGCATGTATTTTTCTTATTAGAAATTCTCACGAAGTTTTATTGTGATATTCATACACAGAAGGCATCGAGAAGCAGGGAAAATGCCCCTCACCACCGTTAGCAGTAACTAGTCCTCCTTTGTCCTCTTTCCATCACACTCCTGCAAAAACACAGCCTCTAGGAGATCAGTAGTCATGACTGGCAGACAAAACACAGCAAGTGTGTTGAAATCTTAATCCCTTCCAAGTCTCTGCTTGACAAACAGCTCTTGGAGATTTTCAGGAAATGTGCAATCCCTTTAAATGCATCAGCAACCCATACCCATTGCCATCGAGTCAATTCCAACCCACAACAACACTATAGCATGGAGTCGAACTGCCCTATTGGGTTTCCAAGGCTGTAATCTTTACAGAAGCAGACTGCTAACATTGTTCTCCCATAGAGCAGCTGGTGGGCTTGAACCACTGACCTTTCAGTTAGCAGCAGCCAAGAGCTTAACCATTGCATCACCAAACAAAAAAAATAAATAAATAAATAAGTCACTGCCACAGAGTCAATTCTGACTCATAGCCACCTTGTTTGGGTTTCCTAGGTGATAATTCTTCACAGACATAGATTGCCCAGCCTTCCTTCCACAAAGTGGCTGGTGGGTTTGAACCACCGGCCTTCTGGTTAGCAGTGAAATGCCTTAGGCACTTCACGACCAGAGCTCCCTAAATGACCTAAACTGGCCTTGTCTAGTTTATAACTTCACTTTTCAGGCTGGCCTGCTCACACTTGCTCACATGGTGTGCACATTTGCAGGGTCAATGTAGCACCTGTCCAGTCTCATTTGCCATTACAGACATTCCAGGCAGGCAAAGGGCACAAGCAGCCTGTGCCATGGCCCAGGTGTGTGCCAGTCCTTACCCAGGCACTCTCAGGCTGCTGTTGTTGTTGACTGACATCAATTTGGCCCCCAAATCTGGCAACCCCATGCACACCACAGTTAAACTCTGCCTGTCCTGCTGCCATTCTCACATTTGCTTGTGGATCAGATTGTTGTGATCCAGAGGGTTTTCACTGGCTGATTTTTGGAAGCAGGTCTCCAGGCCTTTCTTCCTTGTCCATCTTAGTCTGGAAGCTCTGCTGAAAATGCTCAGCATCATAGCAACACGCATGCCTCCACTGACAGCTGAGTGGTGGGTACTCATAAGGTGTATTGGCCTGGAATCAAACCCAATCCTCTGCATAGTAGCTGAGAATTCTACCACTGAACCATTAATGTCTCATTTTCAAACTAGACTGGAGCATACCTGCTGACATTAGTGGTCAGAACATCCACAACAGAAGATAAAAGCTAATGTTAACCAAGCCCCTAACAGGGCCAGCACTGGGCTCTTGTTTTCCACTTACTGTACATTTTTGTTAGTAGTATTGCCTTTGTAGAGATGGGAAAATGGAGGCTCAGCAAAAGATTAAGCAGTCTACTCAAGGTCATGCAACTAGTAAGTTATGGAGCCAATGCCCTATCCCTGGTCTTGCCTGGAACTCTCAATAAAAATAAAGGACACACTTGAGCCCTCCACTTCTGCATAACTATATACAAAAAGGATTATTCCTCCCATTGGAACTGCTTTCACAGCAGGATATGAAGAGAGATCTCAGCACCTTGCTCACTTTATTCCTTGTGACATGATAGCTAAAAGGAAATCAAATTTCAGGTGATAAATATTCTAGCTCATTATACCAGCGTGCTTTTTTGATAAGGAGACTTTGCCTTTATTCATGTGTCATTCAAGGTAATGCCTTCAAATCAATGTATAAAAAATAGAGCCAAGGAGCCAATAATGACTTTGAAGAACACGGATTTTGTAGCATGCACCTTCTAAAGAGCTACGTTTCTGACCAGACATTGTTGATATTATACAGATTTCTGGCTTGCTTAGTCAGCTACAGCCTTTTTTCCCCATCACTCAGTGAGTCTTGACCTGCTGCCCTGGGATTACTTACCTCTATTGTACTCCTTATAATTGAGAAGAAATGTGTACTTCCCAAAAAATAATACATCTTTCGCTTTCCCTGAGAATTTCAGAAGTGAGAGCAAAGATTACTAAAACTATATCCATGTCCTTTTGATTTGGCACTGTCTTTTGGCCCACCACTCTTGTGTTGTTATTGGGTGCTGTGGAGGCAAAACCAAAGATACATCCAACTAAAACTCAAACCAGTTAGTAGGTCATTGGATGGATGCTGCTGAGTGATGATACAATTTAACCCATTACAATATTGAAATCCTGTTAGTAACTTGACTTCTAACATTTATTTTCTGCAGAATTTATTACTAGGCCTTCTATACTCAAATGCTCCTTGTTGCTTCTAAGGGTTCAGCCACATTGGAGCTGTCTCTGAGTCTAACCAAGTGCTTCCCAGGGTCATATTTGTGTGCTTACCTTTCCCTCTTCCCTAGGAGCTCATGATGGGGATTGGATTAGAGGTAGGTTCACTGCCAGTGGTACTCAGAATGAATGACTTGAAGCACATGAGCATGGGGTTGGTCAAATATCTCCCCATTCATGCTCCTTCACCATCAAGCCAGAGATAAGCCATGTCATAAATGAGAGGTATGACCCACTCATCTATCCCATTATATGTTCATTCATCATACACTATGTGCCAGACACTGCTAGGTTTTGAGGTTATGAGGGCAAGAAAGATACAAATAGTCCCTGTCCTCAAGGAGAGGAGACAAACATAAAATAACTACTAATTATAAGCATAAGAAGCATTACAAAGGAGATTACGTGTTACCAGCTGTGTGGACCCATTTTCTGGAATCAGTCATCATTTTCTAATCAGACTAGGAAGACCCATATGATCCAGGGAAGTCTTAACAATAAATTTGGTAGAAAATAAATGTTAGAAGTTACATTATCAACAGGATTTCAGTACTATAATGGATTAAATGTGTCATTTATCCCAACTATCCAGTAGCATCCATCCAAAGACCTACTACCTGGTTTAAGCTTCAGGTGGGCATCTCTTTGGTTTCAACTCCACAACACTCAATACCAATACACCAATGGTAGGTCAAATGAGCTCTACAGTAGCTTTCAAGAATTCTGAAAAGCAGTACAAGAGAATGTGATAAAAAATGTGCCCAGGGATCATTCTAACAGTTGACATAATCCAGGGAGATTGAATTCAGTGCAAAATAAATAATTAAGAACTATACAATTTAAAATGTACTGAAACTTAATGTACATGAATGGATTATTTCACAGATGGTGCATCCAGGATGTCAGACCATACTGGTCTGGTTGATTTCACAATATGACCTGAGGATGACAAAGGTGTTAATGGTTCTGCTCTCTTTTGCAGGAAGCCTAAGAGAATTGTTTTTCCAGTTGGCATTTCCCCAAAACATCTGTCCTATTAATTTAAGATGTTTCCCTGCTCTAGTAAAAGCAGAATGTCTTTAAATGGAAACTCTGTGGACCAAATTTGCATTCTATTTTTGAATGACAAGATTAGCTCCAGTTATAAATGACCCCAAGACCTGAAGAACTAGATGGTGCCTGGCTGTTACTACCAACCACTCTGACTGAGATCCCAACAGAGTACCAGATAGAGTAGGGAAAAAAATATAGAACAAAAAATCAAGTTCACAAAAATGACCAGACTTACTAATCGGACAGAGACTGGGAAAACCCCCAAGACTATGGCCCTCAGATACTCTTCTGATCTGGAACTAAAGCCATTCCCAGAGACAACCTTTGCCAAACACTAGGCAGGCCCATAAAATAAACAATAACACCCGAGAGGAACGTGTTCCTTAGGACAATCAATTATACAAGATCTAAAGGACAACATTTGCTCAAAAGCAAAGATGAGAAGGCAGGAAAGGGTAGAAAATCAGGATGAAAGGAAATCGGGAACTCAGGATGGAAATGGGAAGAGTCCTGACTCATTGTAGGAAATGCAACTAATATGATGAAACACTTTATGTACAAATTATTGAATAGGAAACTAATGTGCTCTGTACTCTTTCACTTAAAGCACAATAAAAATTAAAAATAAAAAAAGATTAGATCTAGTTATGAAAACACTGTTAAATTTCTAAACTTATCTCATCATTGCAATTTAAGTAATTTTTCAGACTTTAGACAGGGAAACAAAAAAATTACTAGTAATGTTCTAAAGAAAGACACTGATGGACAGCAAAGAATGACTCCGGGGTCTGTTAAAGTGGGGTGATAAGAATTTTTTCTTTTTTTTCCCTCTTCATCTTGCACGTAGGACAGTAAGCCCTGAACTCAAGTCTTACGCCCTGGGAGTTCTTTTTCTTCTCCTTCGTTTATTGGGTATGTATTATCTCCTTATTCCCTCAATAATGAATTGGATGTTTATTACCAGGTGAGTAAATATCAGTGAAATGGTCCCATTTCTTGAGTTTGTTCCTTTTTTTCTAGGAAGTTCAGCTATTAGTAAGCAAGAGAAGCTTTTACATCTGCAAATTTTACACTGAAAACTAAACTCAAGCACTCCCTGGATATTGCAGAGTTTTCATTTATACCAACTTTATCATCATGCCACCCTGAATTCTCAATGGCATAAGCAGGAAAAATGATGGTACCAAAAGGGGGAGAAAATTGGTAGTGTAATTTGGCACCTTCATTAAGCCACCCATGAGCAGATTGTGAAATGCTTCATTTAGGAGGCTGCCAGCTGGGAGAGAGAGAGGCATTATCACATTGCTTCACAATTGGAAATATTTTGCATCCTTTAAATTTTTCCAAACTGATTTATTTACCTTGGGTTTCCAGGATGGGATAAATGTAACTTTCAAGCTATAGGGCTACTTTCTAAGGATTGGTATAGATAAAAGGAATGAAGTCAAACCCTGTTTTTGTTAAGTTGAGAAATCAGAGAATATGAATAGTTAATAACTCACTCAGGACCATGTGTGGCTAGGGTGAATCAGGAATGGCCAACCAGAGAGCCCAGCTCTCTGCAGAGCCTTGCTTTGCCCCCCGGACCACTGTTGGTTTCTGAACATCTCTTTCTCAAAGCCAAGGTCAATGTAGGATAACTTTTTCTGCCTTGAGTAATAGGGAAGTGGTTTTCTCTAATGAACTTTAAATTGTAAATTAATGTGCACTGGGACATAGGTGTGACCTGTATTTTCAGGGTGAAAATAAAATTCCTCTTTCCAAGTATATAATCATGGGTGAATATATAGACTTAGCTACAAAAATGATTATAAAAATGCTTATAAAAGTGAAAAATTGGCAACAACCCAACTGTCTAACAGCTTAGAATCATTTGAATAAATTATGGTATCTAATCCCAGTAGATTTTATGTTACCCTTTAAAATTCTGTAAAGAAAAATATATACAGACTTGGAAAGGGGCACGTGATATGTAGAGAGGAAAAACGAGGTCTATAATGTGATATATAGCAAATGTTTTTAAAAGTATTTATAAACATGAAAAAATACTGAAAAACTAGACATCTAAATGTTAATAGTTACTATCTTTGAGTAATGACGTTATACATTAAAGTCTGCCAAAGCAGGAACCTGTGTAAGATGGAAACCTTTCAGAAAAGGAAAACTCAAATATTTTCCACTAATAGAGAGCAGGAGCTCTGTAGCATGGTGCCTAAGGCACTTGACTGTTAACCAGAAGGCTGGCAGTTCAAAACCACCAGCCACTCCTCTGAAGGAAGGTTGGGCAAACTATTTCCATAGTGATACTGCCTCGGAAACCCAAGGAGGGGTCACTATGAGTCGGATCAGACTTGACAGCACATAACAACAACAACAGAGAGCAATAATGGTTACCACACCCTGGCAAAGGGAGAAAACTTGCAAAACCCAGACAAGCAAGGCAGTCCTGATGAATTCCGGTTTTCATAGGTTTCACTGTACATATTGTTTTCTAAATCTGTTTAACAATTTTAAATGGATATATATATATAATTATGTTAGTTCTTATATAGTTGATATAGGAAAAAAGAAAAATATTCCCCCTTAGACCCATTAATAAGGTAAGTTCCTATCTGAGGAACGGAAACTGTGTGGTATATGTCCCTATTGACCTCTCATCTGTGCCAATAGCAAATAATTTCCAATCAATCTTTGTGATCATTCCTGCCAAGCCTAAGACAAGGCCTCAGAATCCTTCTTAACCACTATCAATCCATGTATGTTGGTACACATGTGAAATTTTAAATGGCATCTCTTATCTTATTTCTATTCCATGAAATAGAAATGCCTTAAGTCTGTAAAGATGCCCTAGTTAAAACAAGATCAGAACTCCTACAGAAATAAAACATAAAAATAGAAGTCTTCTAGGAAGATGCAGTAGCCTGCAGAAATCTACCAACCACACAGAATTATAATTATGCTGATTATTTTTCTTATTGTTACAAGGGTAGAATGAATAGGGATGTGTCGCCATGCCCCCCACTGTTACCCCAGATGGTTGAGTGGACAAGTAGATAGAAAAATGTAATATTGCTTAGGAAGTCGGGGATCCTGATTTCTGAAAATGGTGAAACAATCCCACATATAATGCATGCTATAAATTAACATTTATTGCACACCTAATGTGTTCCAAGCTCTATGGAGAATACAGAGGCAAGTGAGTGTAACTCTGCACCTAGGAGTCCTCTCAGGGCTGGGAAGATGAGGGCCCCATCTGTGGACTTGCCGTGGAGGTCTGTGTATCTCTAAACTGATGCTAAGTCTCAACCCATTTGGAAAGAATTTTTACTCTTCAGGATAGTTTTGATAGAGCAAATGAAAAAAAAATTGCAAGATATTTCTGAAAAGTTAATGAGAATTATAGGACAGTCAAAGGGAGAACTGAAAATTATAAACCTTGCAGGTTTGTAACTAAGATCATGCTCTAAAGTGATTTCCCTATTTGTATGTCTGCCCCAGGAATAATCAGTCAGGCATTATCTACAACAGTGCTTTTCAAACTCTCATGACTGTAATCCATAGCATGAGATAAATTCTACATTATGGCCCAGTACAAACATGCATAAACAAAGAGCTGAAACAAAAATTCCATGAAAAATTTGTAAAAAGCCAACAGTTGCAGTCAAGTCGGTTTCAACTCATGGCAACTCATGTGTTCAGAATAGAACAATTATGTGCCATAGAGTGTTCAATGGCTGATTTTTTGGAAGTAGATTGCCAGGCCTTTCTTCTAAGGCAGCCCTGGGTGAACTTGAAACTCCAGCCATTCAGTTAGCAGCTGAGCACATTAACCATTTGCTCTACCATTCTTAATGGTATGATGGACTGTGATCTCTCTCTCTCTCTCTCTCTCTCTCTCTCTCTCTCTCTCTCTCTCTCTCTCTCTCTTTCTGTTCTATTTTCTCTTATTCTGTTCTATTTCATGCTTTTTCAAAAAGTCAGTCATGGCTCACTATGTTGCTTTTATCTCCCATTATGGGTCACAAATCTTAGTTTGAAATACCCTACTTTAAAAGAATCTGACACAGTTCTGTCTTTTAATTAAAAGTAGCTTATCAAAAAGTCTTTGCATGTGACCTGATTCCATTTCCTGCAACATCTCATAAAATTAACCACCATTGTTGTTAATGAAGGACTGACCAAGAAACTAGATTCATGACGTTTCGTTCATCCTTTGTTCTAAATTCCATCTTGGGGATATCACAGTTCAGTGTGATGAGATTCTATGATGGAGTCAGCACAGGTGCAGTGAGATATGTGGAAAAAACTTGCCCTGGGATGGCAAGGCAGAGGCATGGGTTTGGGAGGGATATGTCTATGCTAAGAGCTGAAGATTTATCTGAATGAGGAGGAAGGAGAGAAGTGTTAGAGGGACTGAAAAGGGACAGAAGCCTGGAGGTGAGTAAAGGACAGGGCATGTTAGGAGCTGCTTTAAACACCAATAGAAAGGAGTTGGTAGAAAAGGCAGAACCAGGGACCATGGTGACACCTGTTTGTGTGGTACCAATAGCTTCCCCAGCTACCCTCAGCAGCCCTGGAGTAGAAGCAGGAAGTGGCTGGTGCTATCAACCAAGTGTGGGGGTTTGTGGGCAGGTGCAATGGAAACAAAGCAGTTGAGCATGATGGCCCAAGGGCAGCTAAAGGATTGACCACGGTGCCTGGGCCAGAGAAGGAATGAAATAAATATGTGAGAAAGTAGAGCAAGCACAAAGAGATAAAGGAATTCTCAATTCATCTCATAAGCAGCCACCACCATCTGTCATTGGAGGCTTGCATCCTGTTGTGATGATGAACAGGTTTCAGTAGAGCTTCCAAACTAAGATGGACTAGGAAGAAAGGCTTGGCAATCTACTTCCGAACATCAGCCAGTGCAAATCCTGTGGATCACAATGGTCAGATCCATAGCCAAACACAGGGTTAGCACAGCACTGAGCAGCATTTCATTCTGTTGTGCGTGGAGTTGCCATGAATCCAGGGCCAACTCGACAGCAGCAAACAACAATAACTGGGTATAATAATAGAATGGGAATAGAGACTAGGAAACTGTGGTCAAAGATTTCTTGTCTAAATTTGATGCTACAGTGGTGGAGTGGTTCTAAAGAATGTGCTTGACCAGAGTGGAATGTGGGTGAAGAGCCTTGCTGTTGAGGAGAACTGTTGTAGAAAGGCCAAGTGTGGAATGGGGTGTCTGTGAAAGAGTTTAGGTCTCCCACACAGTGGTAGAAGTTGAGGTGGGGAGGAAGATGCTGACATGCACAAGAGTCAGTAAATTTAGAATAAATTGAATTCAGAGCAGAATTCCTGAGGTTATCAAGTCCATCATTCTTCATCCTTTTCAAAGGTCACGTCACTGCTTTTCTCTCTAGGTACAGGCAAACCATATGCTCCCCAGGTCTGATTTAGAATCCAGCTCCTGGAGCTACTGCATGCCATGGATATTAAAACCCCAAAATCAAACCCATTGCCATCCAGTTTATTCCAACTCGTGACAACCCCATGTATTACAGAGTAGAACTGCTCCATAGGGTTTTCTTGGCTGTAATCATTAAAGAAGCAGATCACCAGTCTTCCACACAGCTGCTGGATAGGTTTGAACCACTAACCGTTAACTTAGTGGTGGAGTGCAAACTGCTTATACTACCTGGGAACCTTCACTGAAACAAATATTGCTTATGATTCTGCTGTGTGCAGGGCACTATTCTAAGTGTTGCAATGGATATGAAAATAAGTAAGAGCCAGCTTCCTGCCTTCAGCAGCCTCTAGTAGGAGAAGGAAGCAAGTATAGGGGAAGTATAAGAGTTACAAGGAATTGGAATTTCAAGAGGAAAAGAATGATTGGCCGTTCAAACCTATCAGCTGCTCTGTGGAAGGAA